ATACGCCTTCATTTTTCTTGATTAATTACAGGCGATGTTTAATTCCAAAGAGATACTTATCTACTTAAGTGACTACCGTTTTGCAATATTCATCTGAATTGCAGTCCAAATTAACACGAAAGCTTTTCTCTGGGTTCGATTTGCTCGGGAACTTGAGAAGACAGGTAATAATGAAACCAAAAACAACGTCAGAAAGAAAGACAACAACAACAGAAGGGCAAAGAAACAAGAACATGATACGAGGTGGCAAAAGTAAAAGTAGAAGTTCACGTTAAAAAAGAGCACGGACAGTGATATTTTTCGAGGAAAAATACCTTTTTGGGAGGGTGCTATGGATGGCGGGGATTCTAAAGGGAGATTCATCAATAAGAAACATACAATATGGGTAGAGTCAGACCTAATTTTTTTGTAGCTTGGGGAGAGCCACCCTTTAAAAACTAGGAAAAATTAATTAACACCTCATACGCTTTTTAACCCAATCTATATCACCATTTAAATAACAAGCACAGTTCTAAATTTACAAGCCCAAATATTTTGGTATAGTATAAATTTGTCACAAAGAGCTAAACATGTTAGGATACAACAAAGTTCCAGTCACCTGCCCACCATTTAGGAAGCTATTAGGGGAAGATCGAAAGTGAGGCAGTATGCCTGAGGACTGATACAGGAATGGCTAGAACAGAAACAAGGTTTTGTTGACATCAGGGGACAGGGAAAGGTCCTTGGGGCAAGGTATTACCAATTGTGTCTACACGAATAATGGTTTTGATTTACAATCTAAAATTCATGCAACTCAGTCTGATCTTTACCTGCTGATTTTAAGCATGAGCCACTTGGTGCTGGACATGTGCCGCTCTGGCGCGGTGACACAAGGTTATATCCTGAGCCGTTGAGGACGGCGCCGATATTTCCTTTCTTTGTTTATTTTGTGCGCTAAAAAGTTGTTGTCGCCTGTTAGCTAGTGGCTAAAATTTTTTGGAGTAGCAAGCAGAAAACAGAAGAACCTCTGGAAACATGAGATACTTTCCTCTTTGAAACTGAAAATATTACTCCTAACTTACAGGAAGCAGTGAAGATGTAGCTTTTAAAAACGTACGTTTAGGAGCTGTTTATGTGGGGGGAGTTGATGAACCCTGAGGGTATACGTAGGTCAGGTAAACCGCCTAGTCGTGGTAAAAAAATACCCTGCGTTTACATGCAATCTTTTAACAACCCTGCAATCTCGAAGGGAATTTTCCCTAGATTATCGGTAGTCGGCCTCGAGATCAATTCCATTAAAGTTACACTTGTTTTGTAGTCCTTCATGTTCCTCACAAGAAGTTCGAATCCGTCGGCGTTTCTCTTGCCTTGTGCTATCGACTCATTAGAAGGACAAAGTAGTGAAAGAATTCCAAAGGTAAATGTTAAAGTCTTTGTTAGTGCTTCTTTTTATGGATATTTGAAAGGCTATTGCTTAGTTTTTCTTCATTAATACCCATTTTTTACGCGTGATTAGCGTGCGAACACCTCGGACTGACAGCTCCCCAGAGAGGTCAAGTAGTGACTTTATTTCAATAGAATAAAAAAAGACAATTTTTTAGTGCAGAGAAGGAAAAATCGTCGGAAGCGTGTTCAAAGCATGTACCCGTTAATATAACCATATTGGTATTCTAAAGAATTACTGCGTATATGCAAGTAGGTGCTGCTCCTAAATGAGTATGGGGCCCCTCAACTTTATCTAAGAATTTAAGTTTTTATAAAATAAACCCCTTTGCAAACGAATCACGAGATCGAGTTCACTAGATTCGCATGCTCTCGTTCCAAATTTCCAATCTTTTCCTTAAAAAAAAAGAAAAAAAAAAGAATGTTTCAAGTGCAAGATTACTTCAAACAAGAAATAAAATTCAAGGGATATGTCATTATTGAACAAGCCACCCTCAAGTACAAGTTGTCTTCCTACTGACCCTACTTGTATTTTTAGCTTTCTCGCTCCTATAACTAAAAAAGTTGAAAAAATTAGGACGATGAGCCGCGAGGAAAGACATACAGAAAACCTGTTTCTCGGGTTCTACAATGTTGTATAAGAACTTGAAAACTTTTTCAATTACTCGAAATGCGTGAAGACTTTTCCAATCATCGTAAAATGCTGGTCTTTTCATTATTTATAAGTCTATAATTCGAGAACTCAAGTCCAAGCCGTATGCTGTGACAGAGTCTTCTTTTCCCCTAAAGCACTGAGGGAGAGCAAGCAAAAACTGAGGAAAAATTTCCTTTCAGTTATGGCTCTTGCACGCACTCTGTATTACTTTGACTGCCAAATGTTGAATGAATAATTCTTATAGATTTTGCTTCCCTCCTTTTTTTTTTGTTTCTTTTATATCCCCTACTTTGTTTGTGCACAGTTAATTCGCTTTTACCATGTGTTTCGTCGGACAATGAATTAAAGTTTCGGTGTGGAGTTTTACAGTTCGGCTCTCTTTCTTTCATTACGTGAAACCCCAGCACATTACGGTTTCACAAA